TGGGCTCTCGGGAGGGGCCTGCGTTGCTGGCCATAGCTCTGGCGGAGACAACCAAGGCCTGCTTAGGGCCACTCGCGCCCACCCGTGGATCAAGTCGGGAGACTGAGGCCCGCCCTCTAGGTCTGCCAGCGGGACTTGAACCTGTTGTTTCTCTGGCTGGAAGGGAAGCTTCGGGAATCAGAGGTTGCCAGGTCTCTACATGATAGTAATGATCTTTACGAAGCCTCCATGGTCTCTCTACGCTTCATTTTCGTCAACTGTAAATTGGGAGTGAAGATACTTAAACGTTTAAAGCTAGACTGTTAGCTCTGGGATTTGTGTGTTTTGTTCCTTGCTGTATGCCCTGCGCCTGGAACAGCGCCTGCACAGTAGGTTCCCAATAAATGTTTACTGAATGAATGGATGGATGTTTTATTCCTCCGCAACAGCCCTTTCAGTTTCCTAACAGCGCAGAGCACTTGACGATCCAAGGCTCAGTAACTCAGTCTTGGAATGATAACAGTGTAACCCCAAAGTACATACTGACCTGTGTGCCTGACCCCTGAGCAAAGGATTTACTGGGGGCCTCACAGATGCCTCATATCTTACCCTCACATCAGAAGCACGTGATAGAATTATCATTCTTGCAGAGAGGAGAACGAGGCTCAAATGGGCAGCCATTTGGTTAGGTCACATTTCTAAAGCCTTCCATCCTTGAGAATGGCTGGGTGATCATTAGGTTCCAACTTGGATGTGGGGCACCCTCAGGCCACAGAGTGCTATGTCTGCTTGTGTAAAATTTGAGCATTCCTCTTCTCATTGATTCATTGGATGTACACTTACTGAGCACTTGGTGTTTTCCAGAGCTTGCACTGGGGCACAGCACTCACCAAGCCAGGCCTGGTACCTGCTCCTGGGAGGCAGAATAGTGTACAACTTCAGTTCTCAAAGTGTGACCCCCCCAGCCCTTCAGGTGATGTGGATATAAGCTCAAGTTGGAGAGCTACTGCTAGACAACAAACTATCAAGCAAACGTTTTAAAAACTGCAAAGGGCCAGATAGCAAATATGTTGTTATGCTTTAGGCTTTGAGGGCCAGACGGTCTCAAAGCTCAACTCTGCCATAGCACAAAAACAGTCAGACAGTACAGAAACAATGAGTGTGGCTGTCTTCCTATGAAACATTATGGATATTGACATTTGAATTTTGTGTAATTTTCACATGAAATGGAATATTCTTGAGCTTTTAACCACTTAAAAAATGTAAAAATTACACAAAAGCTGGAAATGGCTGGATTTGGCCTGCAAGCTATAGTCTGCATATGGAAAGAGCATTGTAAGAGAGGTTATGATTGAGGGTCCAGAATCAGACTGCCTGTGTTCAAATCCTAGGTCTCCCACTTAACAGCTGTGTGATCTTGGGCAATTGACTTCATCACTCAGAACCTAAACTGTAAAATGGGTCTAATCGTAGGGTGGTTGTGAGGATTATATAAGATACCAATAATAGTTGGCACTTGTATATAGCTCTTACATGTGCTGGGCACTGATCTCAGCACTGTGTTCTAAATACTTGTGTCACATTACTTTGTGAGACCATGGACAGACTACTTAACTTTGGTTTGTTTTCTCATCTGCTCTTGTGAACATTTGACTTAGAGTTATTATTACACACAGTATAACAGCACCAGGCACTGTTCCAAAAGGTGGGGACACAGCAAAGGACCTGACAGACAAAAGCCCCTGCCATCGTGGCCCTGAAATCCAAGTAGGGGAGACAGATGGAAAATAGATATGCAAATACATGACTGGGGGAGATGGCGGTACTGCAGAAGAATAAGGCATGATATATGGATCGAATTTGGAGGGTACTATTGCGGTTGGGAAGTTGAGGAAGGGTCCAGGATGACATTTGAGCAGAGAGCTGAAATAGGGAAGGATCCATGTGGATATCTAGGGAAGATTATTCAAGGCACAGGGAACAGCAAGTGCAAAGGCCCTGAGTTGGGAACTCGCATGGCATATTCAACGAACAGCAAGGAGGCTGGAAGTGGAGAGACTGCTGGGGAAGTAGTGGAGATGAAGGTAGAGCAACGGGCTGTAAGGTGATAGGAACATTAGTATTAAATTTTGTGGATGAAACAAACCACATACAGCACTGCCACTAGGACTTTGCTCATGATAAGGAGCGTAGAGCAGTGGCTGCTGTTATAGGACCAGGAGCCCACCTGATTACCCTCTGCCCTTTGCCAATGTCAGGCCTCACAACTGTTTGTTGGGTGAATAAGCAAAAGGACATGTCAGAAATACTCAGTGCTCAGGGTTTCTGCTGGGCTCTGAGCTCCAATAGGGCACGCCTGGGGCTGTCTTGGTCCCTGCTGTGTACATAGAACTCCCCCTAGCTCAGGGCAACGTCCAGGGGAGGGGCTCAAGGAGCATTAGTTGACTGATTGCATGTCAGTCTCTCCACCAGTGTCAATGTGGGCCCCATTAAGGTCCTCACTTCTAGATGTGTGTGTGTGTGTGTGTGTCTGTGAAAGTCAGGACTGTGCAAATATACACTCAGCAAACATTCCCAGAGCACCTCCACTGAGCCCAGGACACGGCAGTGACCAAGACAGCCCTGTCTTCACGGGGTTCAGTCCAGTGGAGAATGACCTGCCCAATAGTAAGCCGGGCTGGGATGTGGAGCCCCAGGAGCTGGGGAGGCTCAGAGGGGGTGGTCAGGGAGGACTTCCTGCAGGAGACATTGGAGCCGCAACCTGGAAGATGCATAGGGTAAGATAAAGAGCTATGTGCCGGGGCCGGCCGAGTGGCTCAGTTGGTTAAGAGCTCACTCAAGAGTTTGAGCTCTGAGCAACAGTGGTTCGAGTCCAGCCCAAGCTGAGCAGCCGCTGAGCTGCCAACAGGTAGCAGCCGCTGAGCTGCTAACAGGTAGCAGGATGGCTCAGCTAAAAAAAATTTAAAAAGAGCTATGTGCCTTACCTGTGTCCCCCAAGTAAGGAAAGAGCATAGTCTAGAGCCAGGAGGTAAGAGATCACAGCAAGTTAAAGCAAGGGAGATGAGGTTATAGAGATCAAGAAGCCCCCTCTCCCCAAAGTCTTGCTCATCAGTTAGGAGCCTGAGCTCTTCTAAGAGCCAAGATAGGTTCTGAGCAGGGGACAGGCAGGGTCAGGTTTGTGCTTTAGAAAAGTCTCTCTGGCTGCTGGATGGAGAGTAAATGGGAGGGGCAGGACTGGGAGATGACACCAGGGAGGAGGCTGGGTGGGGACCCCACAGAGGCTAGTTGGAGCCTAAACCAGGTGGTCTCAGCGGAAGTGGTGAGACTCCTGAGTGATTGTGGGGTATCGCTGATGGGCTCTGCAAAGGCTGGGTGTGCAGCTGTGGGAGGAGCCAGGGGAGATGAGGCCAGTGAGTCTAGGTAGCCTGAAAGCGCACACCCCCTGGCTTCCTTACAGCCCAACACAGCAGCCTTTTGGGAGCCTGGGTTTCTCCTAGGGCACTGGGAGCCATGGAATGAATGGTACAGAAGCGGGGAGTGAGTGCAGCAGGCTGTGGCTCCCTAAGCGGTGGAGGAGCCTGTAGTAGTGCATGTGTACGTGTGTGTGCATGTGTGTACACACGTGGGGCCCTGCGCACATCAACATCTTCCGGGACCTCCTGGATTCCCTGCCTGGCTCTGCAGGGCGGGGGTGGGAGGGCAGATGGAACACGAGGAAGTCTGCCGTGATCCTTAGCCACCGGCCTCCTCTCACCAGTGTTAATGAGACCACCTTCCCCAAAAGTAAATCTGGGACTGTGGGTTCCACCCCTTTGGAGTGCAGGGATGCCCAGAGGCCTCCGTCTCCTCACCTATAAAGTGGGTGAACAGCCCCAGCACCCAGTTTCAGGAAGGCACGTGCACCACTCACTATGAGCTTGGCTGGGTCCTCGGTGCTGGCAGCCCTGGGGATGCTGGTGACACCCCAACAGCTCTGAGTGCTACAGCTGAGCATCACTCTGAGCAAGGATTTCCCCTGTACCCCTGCTGTGATCCTGGGAGGTGAGCCCATAAGCCCAAAGAGAGGTCATGCGTCCAGTGTCCTAGGACTGGTGAACAAGGAAGCCTGGTGTGACTGTATCGCGCAGTGGATGTCTGCTCATGAGGCAGGTCTGCGCTGCTGCCCTGCCTGGCGGGGTGAGGCCCGGAGACAATCGGTGGGCACAGGCGAGGTGCCAAGCCTCGGCCGGCCAGACGCAGGCTTGTGGGTAAGAGCACAGATGCAGTGGGGTCATGGCAAGCAGCTTCCCTGCCTTTGAAACGGGGACAGTTATGGAACCCCCCTCAGAGGGCTGCTGGGAGGGGGAGAAGGGTGAGAAGGACCTGGCCCAGAGAGTGACTGTCCCCACTTCACTGTGTCCTGCACCCTGCAGATGTCCCCTCCCAGACCTGGGAGAGCCACCCATACCTGCTCTCCAAGGTGACAGAGGAAGGAACGCCAGAGGGAGGCGTTGTTGAATTTAAGTTAAACACCCACATTTATTAAATCCAGACTGTGTTAAAGGATGGTGATCTGGAAGGAGGGGGATGGTCGCGGGACGAGGGACAAGATGATGGATGGCCGTGGGCATCCCAGAGGGCCCTGGCACCTCCCCCGCCTGGCCCACTCCTCGGCAGCACTGTGTGGGCTTCACCATGATTCTCAATGGTACCGGGCTGGCGGGGCGAGATGGCTAGAAACACAGGAACAGACGGACAGACGGTGCCTCCACAAACCACGT